AGCTCTGAGCTAACATCCATGCTAATCCTCCTCTTTTTGCTGAGGAAGACCGGCTCTGAGCTAACATCTATTGCCAATCCTCCTCCTTTCTTTTTTCCCACAAAGCCCCAGTAGATAGTTGTATGTCATAGTTGCACAACCTTCTAGTTGCTGTATGTGGGACTCGGCCTCGGCATGGCCTGACAAGCGGTGCGTTGGTGCGCGCCCGGGATCCGTACCCGGGCCTCCAGTAGCGGAGCACGCACACTTAACTGCAAAGCCACGGGGCAGGCCCTCCTCCACTTTTCTTCTCAGTGAGAAGTTTCCCCTCAACTTGACATGGAATACACCTGCTCCTTCCTCTCCCCTGTTGTTCCCCACACCTCCTACCTGTCCACATGTACTCATGCTGGGTGTGAGTGAATATCTCATTTCCTGGCCCCAACCAAGAGGAGAGGTTGGTGACTCAATAAACAGGACATCATTAAATGAGATAGGTGAGAGTGAGAGAAGAGTGTTTTAGAAAGGAAGAGAGAAAGGGATGCAGCCTATGGCAAAGAGAGGCAGTATGAGTGAAGGGAGAATTGTATGATCAGGTGCATCTCAACTGGTCTATCTTTATCTCTTTCTTCTTCAAGGTCATCAAGACCAGGAAAAGCAAGGACACAACCACTCAATGCTGATTCATATATGAAAACCTCACTAGATTTCTCCTTCTTAAAATGTGAATGCCATTAATAGTGATGTTAATGGAGATAAAATTTAAGTACAAATATATATATATATGTGTACACAGTACATATATATGTATGATATACAACAATATATATACCAGGTATTAATTCTTGGAAATGGGATGTAACAGGTGTTTTGCATTTTCTTTTTTATATTTTTCTGTACTATCTCAATGCCATATTTTACATCTGTAATTTTTATAATTTGGAAAAAATTATAAACATCATTTATTTCTTTAATGCAGTGTTTCCCCAGGAGTCTAATTTATTGGTGAATTGCTTAAAAGCAAATAGTCTGTAGCCTGCAAAGCACGGTGGGGCACACAGGGCCCAAGGAATGTTTGCATTTATACTTTGGGTATGATCTTTACAGGATAAGACTCTGGTCAAGGATGGACTTGTTGAAAAGGCTATGCTCTTTGCAAAGAAACGCAGCAAGGGGGCAGACAGGCTGAAATGCAGTCTCTGCTTCAATTGCCAAGCCTTCTGTCCTAGGAGGGGGTACTTTAGCCCACAACAATCAATATCTTTTCAATTGGTCTCCTGGAGGGGACATAATTGGGCAATTTGTCTGCAAAATAAGGCAGTTTCTCCTGATTAGCAGGAAAACACTAGCATATGTTGGAAGCAATTCCAGACCTGTCTGATTTGAAATAACCGGTTCCACTCACTTACTCAAGTACCAAGAGCTCTGTAGCTCTCCAACCATATTTCCTCGTCTCAGATTTCACGTATGTGGATTCCATCAGGAAGTTGCCCCGGGTAAAGACCTGTATTAGGCAAACACTGAAGAATAATGATCTCGCTTTAGAGTACAATGGCAGAAAGTAGACATCTAAAACTGAAATTTACAATACATTTAATGATCACATATTTGATACCTGGTGTTTTGCAATTATTTTGTGTCACTTAATCTTCATACTAGCTCTGGAGGGTTGTGCTCTCCTTTTTATTCTCTTAATGAGAAAAACCATGAACAGAGAAGCTAAATCACTTTCCTAATGATTCAGGACAGTTCCATCATAACAAGAATTTCCTTCATGCTACTTGTCAACTCTTCCCCCAATTCCAAGCTCCTGGCAACCACTGATATAGTTTCTTAACTTACACTTTTGCTTTTTCCAGACATTCATAAAATGAAATTAAAAATATATATAGAATTTTGAGTCTGGCTTCTTTCACTTAGTGTAGTCCATTCAAGATTCATCCACGTAGTGGTGTGTACCAGTTTATTCCTTTTTATTGCTCTGTAAAATTTACTTGTGTGGATCCACCAAAATTTATTCATCCATTCCCCAAGTGAGGAACAATTGGGTTGTTTACAGTTTTGCATACTTATATTAAAATTGCTGTAAATATTCACCTGCAGATTTTTGTATGATCGCACGTTTCCATTTCAATGGGCAAAAAACTTTTAGTGAGATTGATGGTTCATATAGTAAGTGTATGTTTAAATGTATAAGAAATTGCCAAATTGTTTTCTAAAGTAACTGTAACATTTTTTCATTCCCACCAACAATGTGTGAGAGTTTTAGTTGCTCTGCATCCTCCTCAGAATCTAGCATTGTAGGTGTATGTTACCTTAAAAAAATATCTGCCAAACTCTTTTGAAAAGTGGGGTACCATTTGACATTTCTGCCTGCATTTTATGACAGTTCTAGTACTTCTACATCCTCGTCAGCCCATGGTATGGTCAATCTTTTTAAATTTTACCCATTCTAATTGGTAGATAGTGGTATCTCGTAGTTTTAATTTGCATTTCCCTAAAGATGAATTTCATGATCCTCTTTTTATGTGCTTATTTGCCACCCATGTATCTTTTTTTTACCTATTTTTAAAATTCAGTTGTTTGTTCCCATATTATTGAGTTTTGAGAATTCTTTGTAAATTCTGGGTACAAGATCTTAACAGCTACATGACTAGCAAACATTAAATCCCAACCTATGGCTTGCCTTTGTGTGCCTTCGAGGTATCTCTTGAAGAGAAATTTTCATTTTGATGAAGTTTAAATTATCAAAAAATTTGTTCTCTGTAGATTGTGCTCTCTGTGTCATATCTAAGAAATATTTGCCTAAACCAACATCACAGAGATTTTCTCTTGTGTTTTCTTCTAGAAGTTTATAGTTTTAGGTTTTATACTTGTGTCAATGATCCATTTTGCGTTAATTTTTGTATAGAGAGTGAGGTATCAATCAAGTTAATCATTTTATTGAAATGAGTGTCCAATTGTTCCAATACTATTTGTTGAAAAATTATCCTTTATTGAATTGTGCTTGTACTTTTGTAGAAAATCAATAAATTGCATATATGTGGCCTATTCTTGGACTCTCTACTGTGTTCCATTGGGTCTCGTAGACGCAAATAATCAATAATCAATCTACAAATCAAAATTGGGATGAGTTATTACATAAGCCTTTCTCAGGACCGTACAGCCTGAGAGAATGCCTTCACCAAAAGAGGAAGCTCTCTGAAGAAGTGAGGTGTACGGTGTGGTTATGCTGTCTTGGGACAAGGAACATACATCAAATATGACAGGAATATCTCTTGTTACCACAGTCATGAAGAATGTTTTGCATCTTCAAGGAGGTCAGTGGTCGCAAGATGATCACAGCAGGTCACAAGATGTACACAGTAGGTCAGTTTGACCCTTAGTTTCTGGGAAAGAATGATTATCTTGAACGAAATGCTGAAATGGTGGGAGGCATACATCCCCATCTTTAAAGACATCATTCTTTGCTTTGTAAATGTTTAAAGCAGGTGTACAATTCATGATTGACAGGCCACGTCAGGCCTTTCTGGAAAAACAAAGTCAGGCTGAATTAGTTTTAAACCAAATGGCTTTCTCATATAGCTCAGTATGTATACTTTTCTTATTGCTTTTCATTTATTCATCAGTTTATATGCCTATTCTTTCTCCAATATCACAAAATTATCTTATTATTTATATCCCTTTTATAAATATTTTGTATCATTGCCTTAGAGTTTAGAATATACATCTTTAATTAATCAGAATCTACCTTCAAATATTATCATGCTGCTTGACATGTTGCTGTGTAAGGACTTTCCAACACTATAATCCTAATTCCTCCCTCTCATATTTTGTGCTATCATTGTCAAATATTTTACTTTTATTTATTCTATAAACATACAATATATCACTAATATTTTTTTTTTCAGATTTTGGATTAGCAAACTATGAAGCCCCAGACCCCTACCCCTATCTTCTTAGCTCAGGACATTATGTAAGCCTTAATTGCTGGGCTGTCTATGAGTCTCATATCTTTTATGGGACTCCTGTAGGTACACAATTAAATTTGTTTTTCTCCTGTTAATCTGTCTTATGTCAAATTAATTATTATACGAGCCAAAGAACCTAGGAGGGAAGAAGGG